AGCGTCGCTTGAAATCTGAGGCGCGATAAAGCGAGCGTGCTGTTTGTGCGCAACAAGCAACTTTTGAGAAACATTTCAAGCGCATGTCCCAAGCAACGCGCTCGATTTTATCGCAAGCAAGCGTTCTCTTTGTGCTCCCATTCACGCGAGCAAGCGTGTACTTGGTGCTGCCCCCCTTTGTTGTCTGGTCACGACTTCGGTGGTGCGGTGTGTATTTTCTCTCAGTCTCAGTGACAGTCACACCGAAATGGGTGTCAGGTCTTTGATATCAGCCGAGTTAAAAACAAACAAACAACGACCTGTAAAGGAAACAAGTTATGATATTCACGTTCCACTCGCCTTATTTTATTTATCTCATGAACCCCTCTTCTTTTGCGTTTTCCTCGGATAATTGTAGGCAAAACACTGTCTAGCAACAATAGTTCGTCATCACTCCGCCATCGCGCCAAATGTCCAAGTTCTGACCAGTCGCAAGCGCGATTTGCAATCTTCCTGTATGTACACCTCAACGACAAGCAATCGTTTTATCGTGAGCAAGCGCTTTTTTGTGCGTACCCAATTTTCAACCTTTCAACCGGACCCTCCGAGATTTTCTGTCCTTTTCTCGGAAAGATAGTTCCCGGATCTTCTCATATTATATCACCCGGGAAAACAAGTATATCATTAATTTATGCAGGCTAGTCTACCAACAATGAGGTTGCACTCCATTCTATTGTGCGGAAGATCTGCAAGGAGGAGATTAGACATGTAGTCTACATTCTCAACTAGCGAAATAAGACTACAATATTTTATTTACGGACAAAGAAAGTAGTCGTTATCGAGAAAAAAAAGATTAGCTTTTTAAAAGTGGCACTTAGTGCTTGACTTAACTTTTGAAGTTTGAACATACTATTCACTGAGCCACTGAAGCCCTCCAATTTTGGGTCTTAAATCTAGAAAGTGATAGTGCGTTTTTCTGCTGGGATATTTTCCACACACCCCAAGTCACAGCAGCCTGCCGTCTAAATGATCTCCAGTGTGTTGAAGGGAGAGTAAAGCAAGAACAGACAAACCTCTTGCACCCGTCTG